TTTTGCACACTGTACTGAATGCCAACTGTCTTGTGCTACGCTAACACCGACATGCTAACAATAACTCATTTTTTGGACAAGTTTTCAGCCAGCATCTCGCTAATCAAATCATTATTAGTTTTGATTGATTTATTTTAGTGTCATCATTCATTGAATATCTTAATGAGGCAATTAATGATTGTTCTTATGCCCAGCTAATGTATACATCTTGAAAATTTCCAGTTCTACAATATAGTTCATATTGTCCTGAGAAAAAGCTTTTTGTCCAGGCTAAGGGTATCAACAATGCAAAGACCCCCCCCCCCCCCTCCCGCAATAATTTTGTTTCCGATTGAGTTAGCGACAAGAAACAATTTTTTTTTTTTTTGGGGGGGGGGGGGGTCTTATAGATAAAATTATGTTTCCCAAATTTGCCACTTGTACTTGTACTGTCATACAGCACTGCAATGAATTAAATTATAGATATGAAAAGGATTTAATATCTAAAACATACAATACAGAAATCAATACCATGATGCACCTAGATGCAAGAAATGATTTATACTACAAAAATGAAGTAAATGTTAAAAAAAATAATATTCTAAATCAATATAATTTTTGTCAATTCTAAAACGAATACGAGTACAGAATATTTTTTTTCTTACTATCAGTACTTTCATTCGTACTGATCAGAACAAAGACACTTAGAAGTTAGTACATACATATTTATGCATGACCTTTGACGCTGGGTTCACTCATTTTGGCAACATATTACATACTGGTAGTGTAATGAAAGATTTAGTCTAGTTTGGCAATCAGATTAACAACATTTTTGCTATCACAATGTGATCATCAATATTAATGAGCAAAATGGTTTCCAAGGAAACAAGGTTTGAGTTGAATACAAAAAATCACAAAATTATATGGCAAAAAGCAAACCTACAATATTGTCCCAAACAGAGCTAACTTTGGACTAGACAAGATCAAGTGAATAAAGTTGAGCTGTACATAAAAGATATTCTGATTAAGGTAGAAACCTACCCATAATTTATGATATTGGTTTCTTATGTAAAATCGCACGAGTGTCCCATAGCACCATGAAATAGTATTCTTTTGCAAGTACAATTTATGGCAAAATGATGGGTACTTATGAGTAGGCTTCTACCACATCTAAAGTTACAGCTGTTATATCTCAATGTAATCCACCTCAAAACAGTCTTAAATAGAAATAAGTTTGAATCAGATAAGATAAATAAAGTGCAACAAATTTGATGTGCTGTATACTGTAGAATACTTTATTTTCGCTGAAGGGACGATTCTGTGAAAATAAAATCCGGTGAATATACATTTTTTTTCCCTATATTTTACATTAATCTCATCAAAAATCAGTGAAAATAAATTCTAAGTAAAACGCCCAAAAAGCCTTTTCAGCGAAAATAAAGTATTTCACAGTATATCACATGGGACAATTTCGAACACATCAAATTGCTATAAATTTCCTACTGATTTCATTTCACATGTTAATTTTTCTATATGTTTTGTTGGACCAATTTCTCATTGCTACACGTCTGATTCACATGGTTGACACATTTCTAGAGTTTATTTGAA